CCCCTTCAAGCAACGAACCCCCCCCCCCCCCCTCCACCGTTCGATCCATTTTGGATCTTACGCCGGAGAGTCCTCCACCGCCCAATGGGGGGGGGTAGGGGGGGGGGCAAAGACACACCGTGCAAACGTTAGGGTTTTGCTTGAGACTACAACAGTAGTATCGTGAGAGCCGATACATGTACTCGAGTCGCGTGCAACTCACGGCGACGTCATACACGGGAACCTACTGATGTGCTCGTGCGTTGCATAAGAACAGCAGTCGGTAACCCTGTTCGTGTGTTTGTGGCTCTTGCAAGCGAGAAGCGTGCGGGTATCTGTTTAGCGAGGAACAAATCGTCTCCGATATCTGGCGGTCATGTCAGTGCTATGCATACTGTACTCCATCATGCATAGTGTAGCAGTATTTCATCTTGCGCCAGAATTAGCAGTTCAGAACGTGGCGGGAGCCTGGAATATCTCCACCCCGTCTCCAGAAACTCACAGCAGACAAGAACGTACATTGAAAGTGTGGCACCTTGTTCCGGCATAAACGAAACACCTTCCAAGCCAAACGCGAGCACGTCATGTGGGAAATGTTGTCGTGGGACCACTGCCTCACACTACTAGAAGGTTCAAAGTGATGCTAACCCTTACCGTACGACCCACAAGGAGAACGTGAGTGCAACACACGAGGTTTCGTGATCGAAGTTCTGAAGCATATGCATACAATGCGCACGCGATCCTCCCACGCCTTGGTCTTTTCCTGCATGGCCACATGAACGGTCTTCCTGCCTCCTTCATTCGTGCACACCTCCACGTCCTGGTCCTCGGTCATGGAAGGGGCTACCCTACGCCAATGTTCTCTCGCCAGCTTCTGCCCACTCTCTGCGAAAGGATTGTGTCTGTTTCGCCTTCCAGAGTACGACCTTCTCCGAAGGCGTCCAACAGAGACGAGTGGAACCTGGCGAGGTACAGGAGGAAGGCGTACGTATCGATGTGCGTCAGGACAGGCCCTTGTCTGCACTTTTACAGCGAGAGTGGAGCATTCCTTCAGTACGACCTGCTGTGTGATCATTACAGCCTGTGTTAAATTTTATTTGCCCAGACACACATGGCCCAAGTTGAAACGCGAGATGAAGCAACACCCGCCACTCCCCACCATTTTTACATACGCGCTGATACATCTGTACAGAACTGCTGTCGGTGCCTGCACTCNTTTCGTGATCGAAGTTCTGAAGCATATGCATACAATGCGCACGCGATCCTCCCACGCCTTGGTCTTTTCCTGCATGGCCACATGAACGGTCTTCCTGCCTCCTTCATTCGTGCACACCTCCACGTCCTGGTCCTCGGTCATGGAAGGGGCTACCCTACGCCAATGTTCTCTCGCCAGCTTCTGCCCACTCTCTGCGAAAGGATTGTGTCTGTTTCGCCTTCCAGAGTACGACCTTCTCCGAAGGCGTCCAACAGAGACGAGTGGAACCTGGCGAGGTACAGGAGGAAGGCGTACGTATCGATGTGCGTCAGGACAGGCCCTTGTCTGCACTTTTACAGCGAGAGTGGAGCATTCCTTCAGTACGACCTGCTGTGTGATCATTACAGCCTGTGTTAAATTTTATTTGCCCAGACACACATGGCCCAAGTTGAAACGCGAGATGAAGCAACACCCGCCACTCCCCACCATTTTTACATACGCGCTGATACATCTGTACAGAACTGCTGTCGGTGCCTGCACTCGGCGGCCACGTATACAAGCGGAGGGAAAAAACTGCTTCCGCCCGTCGCACCTGACGCACGGCGTATTGCACCTAGATGCGCCAAATGGAGCTGCACTACCGCTGCTGTGTTGCCGGCTTGAGCGTACCTATGCGAGGCTCAATCGATACTAACCTTCGCCGTTAGGCTTTTGCTTCGCCTTGCCCCCGGCACGCTGCCCACTCTGTTGGCTGCTGATCCACCCTCCAGCTGCGTCGAGAGGAGACGGGCTGGGTTGTGCTACGGAGAAGGGGGTGGTGGCGGTCCCACCTCGACGTGCGAGTGCGAATTCTCCTGCCAACCTAGACCCATCTGGGTTGCTGCCGTACCCCTTACCTGGGTTGTGATGCCCAGGCGTGCTTCGCCTGTCTGACTGGCGTCTCGGAGGCGTCGGGGTCGAGCCCATGACGAGCACAACGACTCCAACAAGACGGTGGGCGCAAACAAAACCCTCCTCAAAAAAGGCACTCCCTCCTCGAGCCGACGCCAGCGTACGCCCAGCACGCAACGCCCTAGCGCAGCCGCGGGGAGGCGGAGAACACCTTCGCGCCCCGCGGCTACTGCGCGTATCCCCACCCTCGTGTACCCTTGCTTTCAGCTACCCCCAATCCTTGCTCCGTTTTTGGAGGCCCAGAGTTTCACGTATAAGGTCAGAACACTTCCTGCGCGCGGCGCGGGAAAAGCCTTAGCGTGCCACGTTCCAGCACCCTCCCGAACAAACCTCCNACCTTCGCGCCCCGCGGCTACTGCGCGTATCCCCACCCTCGTGTACCCTTGCTTTCAGCTACCCCCAATCCTTGCTCCGTTTTTGGAGGCCCAGAGTTTCACGTATAAGGTCAGAACACTTCCTGCGCGCGGCGCGGGAAAAGCCTTAGCGTGCCACGTTCCAGCACCCTCCCGAACAAACCTCCTCCGAATGGCGTACAGATTCGAAGCCAGTGTGGTGTTTCACCTGGTGTCGTGTGCGACCCTGCCCTCCTCTCCAACAGGAAACTTCCGGTGCCTTTTTTCCGGTTGGAAGTGCGGCGTAATCGCCGTAACCGGAAAAACAGCCGCCTACCGGAAATTTTCACCCTATGGGGGAACCCCTCAGTTATTTGGGGTTCTGTTGCTTCCGTGTGAAGAAAATTCGTGGAAAAATCTGCGTGGGTCCGCTGAGCTATGTTGCGCCTTGCGTACAGCACACAGGCTGAGAGTAAACGGGCGTCTGTGTTGGCTATGGCGTTCGTCGAAGCAAGTTGATGAAAGCAAAATGTGGCTGCTGTAGGCATTTCGCGTTAGAACGGAAAGGCGAGGTTCGGCGTGTGGCGTGATGACCGCGGATGATGCCGTGCTGCTGTTGACACTTTGCAGGGGAAGGCACGTTCTCTCCGCTACAGCAGCAGTGCTGCAATATAAGTGCATCTTCATGGCCTGACGGCCTTCGGTACCCGGGTTAACGACGTCCTCGAACTGTGTGGTGACCTCCTGCAAAACCCATATATGCACGACGTGTTGAGCGTGTTGGCTGCGGTTTACATTGCGTTGCCACAACGTTTTCTGCACTGCCAATCTGCCAATCGCGTGTTCCTGTGCTTCGGTGCTGGTGGTGTGCATACGCGGCTGTCACACATGTTTTCACGGATTGATCAAACCCCAATATCACATGTGAGACCTCCTTGAAGAAAAGTCCAAACTGATCGGCCGTGTACGCACGCCACAATGATAGATGTGTGTGCTGCACAGCGGCAATATCTGAAACCGTGGGTAGCCGCTCGCTGAACGTAATCGTGCCCTGCTTAAGATACCGCGTGTGTCTAGAATTCCTCACCACACTCATCCATCACGACCGACCGTTGCTCAAGTGTGAGGGTACATATTCCGTTGGTCAAACGTTTTAGCGGTCGGGGGCAGCCCAAGGCTGTCGTATCCAGTCTCACACAAGGTTTGTGCAGCGTGCGCAAGAAAAAAAACAAAATCCATGTATTCTATAATCACAAGTGGTGCAACGGAATGAATCCTCTGACTTGGGGTGTTTGTACTCGCTTTACAGTACTTGTTTTTTGTTTCTCGGGTCCATTTCTTCTTCCAACAGCAGCATGTACTGCATCAAGTTACAATCGTTGCTATCGTCAAAAAGCTTACACGAAATTAGTACATTTATTGAAGACAATACTGCCTGAGCGAATGAAGGATGTGGATTGGTGACGCGCGTCGGGTTATAACAACATATTCGCCTGATTGAGAGCGAAGTATCTGATTGAGAGCGAGAGCCAAAAAAATTGAAATTTCGGGTCCAGACGCCTCTTGCCATTTCTTGGCAAGTAGGGGACGGGCTATTCCAAGAAGCGGTGCAAATTGAAGGTCTCATCAGCAGCTTCGCGAGCATATGCGCGTCATCGTCATCGGATGCTGCAGCGAGGAGCTAGACAAGTTGCTAGATTTGCCCAGATTGGCTATTTCTGCTCAAACTGTTTCAGGGCGGTATCGCGTCGGGCGGTGGGCTCTGCTGTAGCTTCTGCTCCCCGCTGTAGCTCCACAACGAGAGACTCCCACAGGATGACCAGGGTAGCGGCTTGAAGCTACGGGCTAGCCCTTCAATTCAAGCTACACAGCAAGCTCCACCTCTGAGTGGTAGTCCGGCTACAGCGTATCGCGCAATCTCGCTCTCAATCAGATGCTACGCTCTCAATCAGGCGAATATGTTGTTTTATATGGGACGCATGCTCTGAACACGTTGTTTGCATTATTAGTCTACCCATGAAATGAATAGAATGGTCGACAGTACGTGTGAATGATCGTTAGCATTGACCGTTCTCGCAAACCTACTCGATATTCATCACGTCATGCTCCCCCCGTCCGCTGGGGCGGGGGACCCGATGCCTTACCCTAGTAACGTATGTCTCCGCACTCATTCCGTACACACAACTTTCAACAACAATTATGACCGTGCCTCCCACCGGTGGAACGTGAAACGCAATACCTACAGAACTCGCCCTCCATCCCTTGTTTCTGGTATCTTGTGGTGTTTCACTATCAGTCCTTCGTGCCAAGAGCCACCTTGCCGGACACTGCATACATATCGTATGCGAGCAGAGGGACTTCCTCACCGGCAGCAGTGGCACTGTTGAATTCGGCGACATACCGGCACAAAACGGCATGCCACAGGAAAAGACCCTCAAGCTGCTGCTGGGGCTGCTTCTGTTGGCTTCCTGCTTTTCAGCTAGAGCATGGGCACGGGTTTCTGACCAGCAGGTGACTGGTGGCCATCCTTCAGCGTTATTCGCGCTGTTACCTGCATAGTGGTCACATCATCTCTCGAAATATTTGTTTTTCGAACCAAAATCGACCCGACCTAAAATTCAAGGCTGTTTCGCCCTCTGGCGCGATATTTCGAGTTTGGCCTATGCCACGCATGTTTCCATCCTACCATCATCACTGCTACGTACCGTAGTCTCGATCTCCTCACCCAACCGTTGTCAAACGTTTCCAACGATCGGCAGGAACCGTCAGACGCGCACCAGGATGCCAAACAGTGGGAAGAAGCGGTGTTCCGACTAGACAGGCGGGCCGCCCAAGGTGTTTATTCCGAGTGTAGACGTATATCAATAGTATCTGAAGGCTTAGTTTCGTCAAGGGGAATTGCCAATCGCGTGCTCGAGATCATCGTTATCGATTAGAAGGGGCTCCGCCTGCATGCGGACAGGTTGTGCGTCAAGCCTACTCAAGCATGAGAATACACCAACCAGTGCCCAAGGTAGAGACGAACGTTTACGAATACGAGATGGAAATGATGTTGCCCCCGGAGATATGCAGGCGAAGCAAAGTTTAGCACTAGAGTCAAATGCGATGACCTCGTCTCGGGAAGAATAGCACCAGATTCACACAGTTTTTTTTACTGACGATCCCCTGCATCTGCTCCCCACGCGATATTCCGCTGCCACTTGTGTGTTGCTGCTACTTTCGTGGAGCGCGTACTACGTACGTTGAAAACGTGCGACTTGTTGCCTTGACGACGCTCCCCTCGCTCTGAAACCTTGCTCCTGACCGCCTACGATCCCTTGACCACGATCCGCACCACTACTCCACCCGCACTGAAGTTTACCCGACAGCTGCTTCGCGAAAATGTACCAACATTCGCTCCAGGGCGTTCTCTTATCTCCCATGCTTACATCGTCCACCACCCCTGTTTTTTGTTGTTATGGTGGAGTGTGCACGGCAATGCCGCGCGACACGTGGCAAAGTGCCCGTGGTTACAGTGGATTGTATGCCCCCTCTGACAGCCGATTTAGAAGGCGATTAAGGTGCCTGCGGACAGACTACCACAGGTAGAAAAATACCATATAGAAAGGACAGGAGAGGAGAGAGAAAAGAGTGGCATAGAGCCACCTCTAGAACACAGGGAGGTACGTTGCCTCGCATGTAAGCACCAAACCGTCAATGCTTAAGAAATCACACGGACGTGTGGTTCTCTACCGTATACTAAAGCACTTCCCTTCAGCGAAATATACGCCTGTACGTTTTTTCTCCTTCGGGTGACAACTTCCGTCTCCACCTCATGAAGCATTTGGCGCACATATTTTTCTGTTTCTCAGAATTGATTATATTGCACATAATGTTACAAATGAAACGGTTTGTTCATCTAATTAACTTCGGTCTTCACTGCAAAGGAAGCGGTTTTGGTTTGTTTGGACAATACCTTACGACTGGTTGGACGTAGATATTGTTGAAAAGTAGTTTTGAAGAACGAATATGTGGTTTTGGGTGTGGGCATATTTTCTGAGAGGGTTCGCGCCTATCGGACAAGTTTTTCACACGTTGCCGGTGGTCGTTGGTGCACTCTTGACATAGTAGATACTCTCTTGGTTTTGATTGACACTGCACCGTGTGAAGAGGTAGGGAGGGTGTTGATGTGATCTACCCAGCAATATTTGCCGCTTTCGCGTTGTTTGGAAGTGCATGCGGTGCAACTTGACTCCCCGTGTTCCATGTGTGGCCCTCTGCCGGTTTTGCCGAAGGCGTCCCCACCTGGTGGGGTTGGCCGCCCAGCAGTCTACAAACGTATGCCGTGGACGCACCAACAAACGATAAAGCAGCCAAACTAGCAATCCACGTGAGCCTGCTGCGTTTCATCATGTCTCCTTTATCGAGTAGGTCGAGGCGATCGTACAGGAACAACAGAATTCGGGACGACACCTGACCGCACAGTAACAAAATAGAGAGAAGTGCCTACGAACAGGAGACACGTTACGCCAGGACGTCCAGCCTGACCAGAAAGTAAGCGTTGAGAATTTCGACAGGAATAATATCACGACTCTGGTACGACGAATCACTACACACGGCAGTGTGTGCCCTGTCCTTCCGGCAAAGGCTGTCCCGATCTGATGTACCATGGCTACAGGGCGATACGAAACCCGAGACTTACGGGTATCAACAGGGCGATACGAAAACCGAGACTAAGGGGTATCAAGTTATGTCATTGGAATACCATGAAATCAAGTCGACAGTAGCGGTTTACAGGTCAAAGATTACACATTTGATTGTAGCTCGTTCCGACAGAAGTATTCCGCCAAGAATTGCAGAGCAAAACATGGTAATGGTACCCATTACCAGGTAGTAGATGCCTGTGTAGCCATCCACGCGGCTGTGGAGATCATCCTTTCGTCGCATCCCGACTCTCCGAAGAATGCTTGCTGTACACTCCACTTTGACTGGCATTTGCACTCGCGCATCCAATTTCGGTGATGCGGACTGGAGAGTTCTATTTGACAGGAAACGCCTGCAATGTATTCTTGTACTACAGAAAAACTATCGCCGAGAAGTTCCCGAGGACAGCCCTAGCAAAGTTCAACCAGCTCCTACGTACATTCCACCTCTCCATTGTGCAGAACTTGGTGGCACCGCTCAAGACCACCCGTCCGTGGGAGGCGAAATGAACAAGACGGTAGGCGATGTAGAACCAATATCACGCAGGGGCTATCTGAACAAATTGGTGGAAGCGACGGCATTGGATAGTGACAATCAAGTGAGGACCTGTTCACGTAGAGGTAATCAGGAGGTCGAGGACGGTTGTGAGAAACGGATTGGAATACGCAGATGCAATATTGCGATGGAAACGAAATGTTGCCCGAGGTTTGTCTTGTGCACCTGTACTCTGTACTCCACGTTTTCTTCACCGGCCGGGAGTGATCATTACGCAGGAGGAGGCCAATACTTTGCATGGAGAAGAGGCAGTCTGACGACGCTAGCCATGCTTTGGAAACGTGCGGAGTATTACACTGTGAAAACACCTACGTTGAGACTGCACCCACGGGGCTATGGTTGCCCTTGGGAAAGCCTTTGTTGTGGGCTTGGAGCAGCACAGAACCACGAAGCGAATCACAAATCACTCACTGAAGGCTTGCGCATATGGTTCGCCCCCCAACATGATTTTCAAAACGCTCACGCTTTGCCGACGGTGGGTCTCTAGGAGGCAAATGTTGCCTTCGTGAAGACGCATAAGACGGCATCGACAACCGTAGCGGCCATCATCTACCGGTACGCTGCACGTCACCACCTCAAGGTATTTAGTTTCGCATACATGACATATGTGCACAAAATATATATTCTGATGTACATTGAAGTACCCGCTGGATTTGACTACCACCCATGACGTGATGCCCACAAGACATGTATTTCCGCTCGGTTATTCTGCGATTCGCTCGTGTCCTCCGCTCACGACACACTGTGGGGACGCGAAATACGCTAACCTTTGTGTATCAGGCTTACAAATGTGTCGCTACCAGTAAAGCAGAACTCGCATCTTCGTCCATTGGCTTGGTGCCCATTTCGTACAGCGCTAACGCTTAGAACAGCGTACGATATTTGGGGGGGTGAGCAACTACCGTTCCAACGTAAAACCTCTCGAGTAGGCACAAAATGTTTTGATCCTTGCTAGCCAGTGCTTTTCATCCCTCGGGCGATGTGTACGCAGCGATATTGCTAATCACTCGTTTCATGACTCCTGGGATTGGCGGCCGTTTGATTCTGCACTAATGGCACGCTTTTGCAATACTGCATGGATTCCTTCACCTTCCAGCTGTCGTATTTTGGAGGATCTTCGTCGGTCACCAGTCTGCGCTCGGCCGCGAACAAGGTGAGATGCCGTATTGCACATCATTGCTCATCCAGCACGAACGACACGTCTTTTGTGTCGACGCACCAACAGCGGTACGCGGGTTAATCCGTCTCGACAAGGATTGTCAACATGGTCCAGGTAGTGGTTCAACGACAAGCAACAACTTTTTCCTTCCCGCGTTGGTGCCCGGCCGCTAAAACATTTCTGCCTGGTGGTGACTAGACGAAACAAAGCGGGCAGCGTGTGGACCTTATGCACTATCACATCACCGCCAGGGGCCAGTACTGGGGCACTTGGAATGAGGCGGAAACGTACTACCGAGACATCATGCGGAATCCTGACGATATAAACTTCGTCACGGTACTTCGTGAGCCTCGCTCGCACCTTCTTAGGTACGTACAGCCTGCGTCATCAGCAGGAGTATACCGCAATTCCAATGGGCGGAAATATTGAGGTGTGGGATGCATCACAAGATGACTCGTTCATGTGTCTTATGTGCATCGAGCGCTGACCAGTCCTTTGGGTACACGAAGAGATTCAACAGGCTGGTTTCCAGGCTTCAGGTGACCGGGTCATGGAATCACCGAGGTGGCCACCTGCTTCATATCCCGCCAGCGCTTGTTGTACGGGCCTCATTTTTTCTCCTCTCCTTGTTTCGTCTCGCGGTGCCGTGAACGTTCAAACGGGCGTCTTGTGTACCGTTGGTTGTGCACGGTATCACAGCTACTACTACTACTACATTCAGCCGCAAAATCAGGTACGACGAAATCAGAGAGACGATTTTTTCTTGATAGTGCCCCGCCATCGGTATTTGGCAACATTTCATTGTGTTGGAACTAAAGGGGCCTAGGCAGTATTTTCAAAACGGCATTACACATCTACCATGCACCTCCTGCTGTTATTTAGGCGGTGTGATGTGGGGCGGCAGGACTGGGCAGAGTGAAAGCGAGAGCCAGACGCCGTTATGCCGTTGAGAGTACGTAGGGTCGAGGCGACATCGTATGTATCTGGACACCTTCACAGAAAGCGCGGATCAAGTTGATGTCATAGCAGCACCGTCTCAGCCTACAGCTTGAAAGTTTTGCGCCTGCTTTGTGCTCATCTCCTGCAGAAATCCGCTTGTGAATCGAAGTCGTGGTCGTCAAGATATTAACAGTTTCGCGGAGAGACAGCAGCAAGAGAAGGCCTGAAGTTTCATCTCTTTCTTAATTTTTTTCCAGGCGCTGCCAGTTATATATCTCCACGGGCTCACACTGTTGAGAGCCAACATAATGACTCTCTCCCACCCCACAATGCCTGCAGTCCTTTCAACCTCACTGCGTTGAAGTACCTGGAAACAATCGAGCACCGCAGGATTCTGCGTCGGATCTCAAGGGAATGGCTTGAATCGTTGGCGCTTTCTTCGCAGTATTGACGTTTGTGGAATAAGAACGGTTCCATTATGTTGTGGCTTGAGCAGTCTTAAAATACATTCTACAGATTTGCCAAACCGCCCATGGGCAACCCATAGGCAGCCTATGGGTGCCCCATCGGCTGCCCATAGAACCTCCGTGGACTGCCCATGGGCATTGTGGTGATCATGAGGCATCTATGAGCTGCCTATGGGGGGCCAATGAGTGCCCTTCAACCGGAACTAGGGTATTTCTAAACAATATTTTATCTGCTGTAGAACGGGCATTATTGCGGAAAATTAACCTAAAACTAGTTGTGACCGCAACCCCCCGCCCGCACGATACGTTGCCAGTTCAGGGCCTGCCTATCGGTCCACCCATTGGCAGCTCATGGGCAGTCCATAAAGTGCCCACGGGCGGCCCATGGGCTGCCCATCGGTGCCCAATGGGCAGTTTGGCGAATATGCCCACAGTGTGGTAGATTGGGCTTGAGTGTTCCTGCGAATCTCAGGCGAACTTGCATCAGGTTCAAGCCATCCTTCACTCTACTTGTCATTTATCCTCTTCGTTACCCATCTTCAATCTTCATCGACTGTCACACCGTAGCCTGCGAACCCTATATCGTCGCGGTATGTGACAAATAGCATGGGGGTTCTCTCTCGCTGTCAAAAAATCAAATCGAGTTGGGTTATCACGTTTCTGAACCTTGGGTATGGACACAACCAACCCTGCCCTGTTCCTACTTGTCGTTCGGTTCAGATATCTATCGAGGAGTTCTTGCTCTCTGCCCACGGTAACAAGCAGCCGAAGGTGCTTTTCAACACATTGTCCGCAGAGTTCGGGGTGCAAACCGCAGAAGAAATGGACAGCTTCATCAGCAGTGCGCTCCCAAACTTCAAGCTGGTAAGGTTGGCGAGAATGTGATACTGGTTGCAAGGATTTGCCCACCGCCCCGCGATGTGGCGGGTGGCCTTCTATGGTCTCAGAAAAAAACTGCAAAGTGTCCAGCCTGGGTCTCGAAGCCACGACGAACGTTTAGTGATGCCGAAATCAAACCAGTCAGGTTTGATTTCGGCCTCTTAAAGTGTTGGTAGGGGATTCAGTACCGACTGTGCGTGTTACTCCCGCCAAAGCCTTTATTTACGCGTACTGTTGATTGGCACCCAGGTTGGCTGCAAAACCAACAAAGTCCCTGCAAAGACTTTAAAACGCATCCCTTCGACTGTGGCCATACCTCGCAATGGTAGTCATTCTTTCATTGTATTTTTTCTTCGAGAGGGAATTGTACAACCTGGCCGTGCAATCAAGGAAAGGGCCAAGCGAAGAGAAAGCTAGATTAACTTCAAACGAACATCACCAGAGAAATCGTCAATATTTGACGGCATTTCCAAGACCACAATAAATAGTTGGCTTCTGCGAGGAGCAACACGAGACCGGCAAGGATTTTCATGTTCACAACGACCAACAACAGAGTCAGGTGAAAGTAGCGGAAAATGCCGCGCTTAAATTGAACTTGGCACCAAAGCATCTTGTGACAAGTGCAAGACACGCGCACGGTTGTTCGCATCGCATTGAAGTATGCTTCGTCATCGTAGGACTTGTCCCTTGCGTTCATGGTCGTCGCGGTAGGCAAACGTTCTTGGTCGATGTGTGGTCCATAGGGCTATACCCCAAAAAATATCGAGGCGAGCCAGATGTTTTTTTTCCCCATACTAAAAGTCAAAATGTTTGAATCCTTACGCGCCAAAAGTATACCCCGTGTTGGAGAGTAGTGTGTTGGTGATGATGGTGGTTGAAATAGACCGAAATGTAATGTTGAGGTGAAGCGCAATGAGTGACATTCAGTATCTATCTGCAGGCAGAAGCGGGAGGCGTCTGTATGTTGCCTATAGCCTGCCGAAGAACTCGGACGTGCGCATGTATGTATGCCAAGCAAGGCGATGTCAAGTAGCTTTTTTTTATTTCTGCATGTTCTTTCCCGTGTGTCAAATATAAAGTCTACACACACACGTAGAATAGCGCAGTTGGTACTTTCGCGGAATTCAGCCTTTTTTCACATGAAAGATAAAATACATGTATGTATCTGTACAACGACATAGTTGGATTCGGTACGTAGGCTTTTCATTCGCACACCATTTCAATGTGCACACAACAATACACAGCAGAAATACATGCATGCATGCGATATGTGTATCATGTTTATTATACGCGCTGGGTCTCCGATCTGCCTTACACATACGACCCACACGACGCATCTCACGGCAACCACGTCTGTGCGTGCGTGCACAGCAGCATCCACGAGGAGGGAGAACATGCAGCAACCATTTACTAAAACTTTGGTGATTTATCTCCGTGAACGATGAACCACACACTCTGAGGAAAGTCACCAGCCGCAGCAGTGAGTCATCGTCGTTGGTTAAAAACGGTGTAAGTTCGTTAGGAATTGCGTTGGGAGTGAACATGGATTTTTCACCGGATGAGCACCATTTTCGTCATCACAACTACTATGCGTACCACTCAACCAATATCCTGTCTGTGTCTGGACCCCACCCCCCCTTCCATTACTGCTGCCCTCAACACCGACTTCTCCACCCAGCGTTCTACCACCCCCGCCCAAATAAAAACGATGAACGGCTCCTGCCACCATCCAACGGCATGCATCATAGGACACAACAACTACTACTACTTTGCTTTCTATGAGGATGGCGCGGGTATAAATAAACGGCAGTGGGTGCCATCAGGCCTTAGAGTGCGGCGTACGACTTGCTTTGTTTTTCCTCGAAAATGCTACCCCTTATAGCAAAGAATGTAATAGTTCCCAACAAACACAAATTTTTCTTGACTGACTACGAACCTTTCGAGCATTCAGGGCAAGTTTTCGCCCGTCCATCCGTTCATTACTTGGTTCGTTCTCTTTGCATATTGAGCCTGCCATACTGTATCGGATCATTCGGATTTTTCTAGGTTCACACGAACCAGAGCTTACAACCTATCCGGCTTTTTCACGATTGTTTGGTCGCTGCAAGTGGGCGTCCTTTCCGCGGCTAGTGCGTGTCAACCAACTACAACCCAGTAGATGATGTTGAGCGAAAAATTTCCAGGGAGCTTCCTTTTTTGTACACTCCAGAGCTACTCTCTCTCAGGTATACCTGCCTGGGATTTTCCACGTACGTTTTTTTTTGTTTTTCCTCCCATCATTGGACTCTGTCGTCTGCCCCTCTGGCCCCTATCCTCCACTTCTACTAGCTAGACGACCCAACCGGGGTCACATAGGAGGGGGGGGTTGGACCCCCTCCTGCGGTATATGCCTGAGGTATTATTATCGCGAGAAGGGTACAGCAATCGTGTGTTTTCTCGGATAATAACTCCTCTGCGAGTAGGCGTCGTTGTGCCAATGCTGCTGCTTTGATTCTTCATTTTCCTGGGTATTTACGACACGTTATTATTCATTTCCTCGCACCTTTGGACTTTGCCCTGCGTCTTCTGTTGGGTTCAATGGTCACTAGATGAGCTATAAAAATTCACCATCAACAGCTCCTCCTGCCACCACCCCAACACCTTTTACCACAAAATAATTAATTACGCCTGCCAACGCCGACGCCACCGCATCTGTCTGGCCATCATCCCAACACTTTGGTTCGTGAGATGCGAACGCACGTTTTCGAAAACAAGGTCAAAGCACAAGCCGTGGCATACCACAACAATCAAAATACAACCGTGTCCAATTCCTCAGCACAGAACGGTGTGGTATCAACGAAAATGTGATTGATTTTTTTGGTTGAGAGAAAAGTGGCCCGATAGGGACGCTTTTTATTGTTCAAAAGAAAGCTGTTTAGAGGGGGGTGGCAAAACGGGCCAAGTAAGATTCCAGGTCATTTCACCATCTCGGCACCATGGTGCAATCTACGACGTGTTCACAACAAGTAATATTTTGCCCAAGCTGCCCCGACTGTGTCAAGAAAATCGTGCGTCGAGACCACCAGTAGTCGGACACGGGTTGACCTTTGAATACGATTGCAGCAACTAGTCTGCGTTGCAGTAGAAAATAATCCATCGCTCCGTGGCATGTATTCTCTTGTTCTAGAAATATTCCGGAAGCATGCAAGGTCAACGTTAACCGCGACATCTACGTGTGTGTAGCTTCTTGAACCCTTCTGGAAACTTCTGAAACCTTCTGTAAGCTTCTGGAAGCGTTCCAGATTTAGATTGCAGTTGATACTCTTCTCGAACGTAGGAGGGCTTCCAGAAATCATTCTGGAAGCATTCTGGATCTTTCGTGTGATTGGCTTATTTGTCCGGTATTCGAGAAGAGTGGTGCAGCCCTAAGCTCGCCCACCACTGTCACTCCTCTTCAGTACCAGCAACATCTGACTCGGGAGCCAGCAACCAATAGAAGCATCTTCATATTTCCGTTCCAAGTCTCTCGCGGTTGGAGACGCACAGAGTTTGAACCTCTGAGGTAGGCTACATAGCCTCCTGGAATCTGCAGCATCGTACTGCTGCTAGTGCACAGCGAAATATCGCTGACAGACTGCTACCTTCTCAATCCGTGCTCGGTGTGTCGAGATAGTGCAGCGTCGGTACCCAACTTGCAGCAGGGAAGTTTCTGGCCACTTGCAACACCGAGAGGAGGTGTCGTTTGATTTTGAACCAAGACAGATAGATAGCCTCGCACACCACACACCACACACAGAGACAGATATGGACAAACAGGGAGAAGGAGACACAGACCACAGCGATGGCGAGATGGCGGGAGAAGGGTGTGCCACACAGTCTGCTGGTATTAGCTATCGGCGGAGGAAGTGAGAGGAGAGATCAACATTTGGTTGCATCAGCAGCAGCAGCAGCAGCTGCCTCTCTCTCTCTCTTTCCGCGGGGAGGGGCACATGACACCAACAACACACAGACAGACGCTGCTACGCACAACCATTGGTGCGACATGCACTGCTGTACGCCTCTCTACACTTTTGTGTGCGAAGGGCTAGAGTGAGACCAGTGCCTCCCGTGCTAGCCTGGTTACCCATTACACGCTTGAACGCTTTGAGATTTCCTTGTGGGTGGTAGCTTGGTTGTGAGCAGAGGAGTGCGAGTCCACACAGCTCTTTGCAGAGGCTCCGCTGAATGCGGCCAACTACTTGCGGAACAATGAATGCCCCGAACTGTAACATCCCCCCTAGTATATTATCAACTCATAATATACTAATGCCTCATCCGGTACTTTTAACCAGAGGAATAGTAGAACTGCGAGGTTCCCAATCAACCGAGATGCCTCGAAAGGGAACTATCCACCCGATACTTCACGCCGCCATCTCGTCTTTCTCTTTCCTCTGAGGGACAAACTTTGGACAAAGCCCTCGCTCGTGAAGTCGTCAGCATGGAGAGCGATCTCCATGCCAGTGGAATAGACCGACATACCGCCACTGGCTATAAGTGTTATCACAATCATGACAGCGATTGCGACCAAGTCCTTCAGGACCTACCAAGTCCACGCATGCACGCTTACACACAATGGAAGCACCAATCGAACATCGACTCGGTACCGCCTACCGAGTAGGAGCAAAGACATAGGCTCAAAAAAGTGAACCCCATCACCACGACTGAACCTCAATAAACCTCATCCTCCGATAGCACCGAATTCATCAGAGACACCCAAACTTCACCGTCCCAATAGCAACACCAGAAAACTGCTTCCCACCACCATGACGTGAACGCAACAAATGAGTCCTGGGTTGCGACTAAGACGCCCCACGCAAAAATGAGTCCTGGGGTGAGACGAAGACGGCCTCCAGTGAAGACAACGTTCTAGCTCCTGGCACGCCATGTCCCCCAGTTCTGGTTGCTGCCGCGCACCTGTCAGCAACGGTCTCGACAACTCCTGTCCCTGAAGCTTCAGCGTTCTGCTCTAGTCTTCGGAAGGTAAAACCTAAAGGGAAATACTCCGAGTTTCACGCCGTGGTGCCGTAAGTGTGCTGCGAAGCTAGTACGTGGTGTGGCGAGTACGCTGGGAAGCTAGTTCCGGGTAGGGCAGATGTCACGCGCAATGTAGGCATCCAATCGCACTTCTACACCAGTTCGGGGGATAGCTTTGCACTCGGCGACAATCTGGTGGAGAGGCGAAGATTGCCTGTTCGGTCCATTTTATTGAAATTTTCGATGCGAAACTACGCAACAAACGTTCAACGTCGTGACGGTTCTACGGCTTTCGGCACGAGGAATACGTGGTCTTGATGGAGCAAGAAGCAATACTTGATACCTACAGCAAACTGGTTACTTATTAACACGCAACATTTTCTCGGGTACTTCGCTTCGTGTGGCGGTGGCTGTTGTTGCTGATCTCTCGCACCAAGGCTAAGCTGCTGTTCCCTGTCCAGCGACACTCATAATAACCTCCTCCCCTCGGAAGGCAACGACACAGACACAGACACAGCAATCAACGGAAGAAGCGTGCTAGGAAAGTTGTTATTAATAGTGCTAAGATTTGGTTGGTTGGTCAAACTAAGGCTGCGCTCTTGAACATTCGTCGGTGAGTGAACTTTGTGCTTACGAGCACGGGATGGTTGCGAGGCAGCCGAATCAGAAGCACGAGTGATGGAATAGTTCGTGGGGCATGACGCGCGTGGGAGATTTTGACCGGCATCTCAAACCCACCTCACGGTCTAGCAGCTGCCCCCGCGACAGATATCTTTTGGATTTCCGTTGGCACGACAAGCCCTGCTAATGCGTACGGGGGCCTTGCCGGATAATCCCCGCGGTCTTCGATAGTGACTGGGTGGTACGTTATGCCCTCATAAACCCCGTCCTGGCCGCGGCACCTCCCCCCTTGCGGAAAGCAGTAGTCCGCGGTCCCCGGGAAACTGTGCTGCGACGGTCACGTGATATTCCCCCCACGAAAAATGGCGGGACTGTGGCCATAATAAATAGGACGAAAACACACACACAACACACAAACACGGGTGGCAAGAAAACAAAGAAAAAGAACATCACGACGTGAAACGTGCGTTTCCTCCCAAAGCGTCGAAAGGAAAACTCAAGGTGCCCAGTGGCTCTGGCCAAAGTCGCAAGAGCGGCCGAATCTGGTTCGGGCCAATGGTGTAATCACGAATTAGTGACAATGGTAGTCTGACTCTTGTAGTTCATGTCTTGTGAGGATATTTTCGAGAATATTGACCACCAACAACATATTCGCCTGATTGAGAGCGAAGTATCTGATTGAGAGCGAGAGCCAAAAAAATTGAAATTTCGGGTCCAGACGCCTCTTGCCATTTCTTGGCAAGTAGGGGACGGGCTATTCCAAGAAGCGGTGCAAATTGAAGGTCTCATCAGCAGCTTCGCGAGCATATGCGTGTCATCGTCATCGGATGCTGCAGCGAGGAGCTAGACAAGTTGCTAGATTTGCCCAGATTGGCTATTTCTGCTCAAACTGTTTCAGGGCGGTATCGCGTCGGGCGGTGGGCTCTGCTGTAGCTTCTGCTCCCCGCTGTAGCTCCACAACGAGAGACTCCCACAGGATGACCAGGGTAGCGGCTTGAAGCTACGGGCTAGCCCTTCAATTCAAGCTACACAGCAAGCTCCACCTCTCAGTGGTAGTCCGGCTACAGCGTATCGCGCAATCTCGCTCTCAATCAGATGCTACGCTCTCAATCAGGCGAATATGTTGTTCACCATGCATTTGAGGGTCGACATCAGAAGCTTGGGCTTGCAGCTCCCAACTTCATAACTCAGAACTCCCCTACCATCCACACTGTAACCTGAGCTGCACCCTTCTCTGGATCCTCCCCAACCTGACCCCAAAGGGTATCCTCCTGCTGGCGTCGAACGAGCAAATCCGGGCCCTTCGGCACGCAATGCGCCCGGTGGACCGCTCGCCGTGAACGCTGTGTCCACTACCGCGTTAAGGGGCAACTACCGCCGTGCTGAAAGCACCTCCCCCCCCGTCGGCGAACAAGTGAGCTCGGGGTGGGCCGGCTTCGATCGAAAGTAGCAGACGCACAGCAGCGACGTTCGTACGCTCGGCGCACCGGATTCACAAAGCGCAACCGCGCACAACCGGCAGCGACGGCGTACAGATAAAACGCGCTCACAGCGAATAGAAGATATAGTAGCTGCCGCTAAAACGAGCGACAGCTGATAGATGTAACTGTCGTCAGACGTGTGCGTCCGCGGGAGGTGGAAGAGACCCTTTCTTCTTCTTTTTCTCTTTGCAATTCACGTCATTGGTTACCCGCGACGGCGCTGAAGACGCCCATGTCCGTGTACTTGACCCTCGTACTCTGTGCTAACTCCCCAAGTCTAACCTCTTCCTGCAGCCTAGCCTTCATCGTCGGCGAATTTCCAAGGTTACCAATCCTGTCGAAACTCATGGGCTCTACCATGAGGTCCACAAGTCTCTTCGCCCTACTGAGACAGACGAAAGTAAGCCCCGTGCAGGCCTCCTTGGGCCCCAAGTCAATGACGGCCTTGGCTAAAGTCTGCCCCTGGGACTTGTGCATCGTAATTGCCCAGCAGAGCCTAAGGGGCAGCTGCGTCCTGACCTGCGTCCCCCCGTCCTGCCAGGTGGTGTCGACGGGAGAAATAGGGACACAACGTCTATACCTCTCCTGAGACGACCATTCCCCCCCCGAGTACCCTTCAAACTTGACGACAACGTAAAGGGGGAGCTTCGGCGGGGGCGCATCATCTGCGCACACCAACTCG